GCCACCTAATGAGAAGGAAGGAATCCCTGGAGAAGAGTCTAATGCTGGGAACAATTTAGTGCAAAAGAAGAAGGGGACGGCAGAGGATGAGGTGGCTGGATGGAGTCACTGAAGCAGTTGGTGTGAGCTTGGGTGGACTCTGGGGGATGGTGGAGGACAGGAACGCCTGGAGGAATGTTGTCCATGGGGTCGCGATGGGTCGGACATGACTTCGCGACTAACAACAACAACAACGCATCCTCCATGAAATCATATCCAAATACAAAAATTAAAGAACCATTAAAAAGCTACAATGATAATATGTACCATATTAGACCAGGGCAACCAATCTTTATTTCAATGGAAACCAATGTAAAAACAGAATCTCTAATCAGCAGTTAAACTGATGGGCAGATATAAAGGTTTTGACCCAGTGCCAAAATGTGTAAAGCGTCGGTGCCAGGGCAGCTTCCTGGGGAACTGATTCCATAAATGGGCTGCCATTACTGAAAAGAGTAATGCTCCTTGTAGCGACCTTCCTTACCTCTTTTAAAGGTGACTCTCGGAGAAGCACCTCCAGTGATGACCTTAGGGTCCAGGTAGGTGTATATGGAAGGAGGCCTTTTCTGTTTCAGGCAAAGGGAATGAAGACGGAAGTTGTCAGTTTTAGGCAGTTGTTATTGTTGTTATTCTTAGTCTTATTTATTATTTACATTGCTTTTATATTCTGCCTTTTTTATTCTTGTGGAGGAACCCAAGGTGGCTTACATAGGTTCATTTTATCTGCACAGAACCTTGTGAGGTGGGTTGGGCTGAGTCAGTGACTGGCCCAGAGTCACCCAGATGGCTCCATGGCTGAGTGGAGACTAGAATCTGGGTTTCCCAAGTCCCCAGGCCAACACTAACCCAGTGGTCCCCAAATGTTTTGAGCTGCCACCCCCTTTCCTATTGAGCGACAACCCTAGTTCCTCCACACCTCTTTCTTTGCATTAGTTCTATTGCTCTACTGCAAATCTGAAACAACCAATCACCGCTCCTTGGATCTTTCCACCCCTCTGCCCCGGGAGTGGTACTGTCCACTTTGAGAATCACTGCTCTAACCACTGTACCACACTGGCTGTCTATGACTTGAAAAACACATAACAGCATTTATTGATGTTATCTGAAGAATTCTATTATTTCTGCAGTGTTTGGGATGAGACTTCATCTCTCTCTTAGCTCTTATGTTTATAGATCTGTCAATCCGGTTTGCCTGGATTACACATTTGACTAGGCTTAACTCCAGTGCTGATAAATGGCTATAAAAATAACCTTGAAAATTACCTTGGACTGACCAGCGCAGCTGAATCCTGACGAATGGAGCAAACCATGACCAAGTCTCCAGAGAGAATCTCATTTGTTCTCTAGGAGCAGGACGCTGCTCTCATCTGCATGGGAGCTGCTCTGTGCCTCTGACTTTTTCACGGAGCAGCTCTCCCAGGGAGGCCTTTCGAACAGCGACTGGGCCCTAATTCTCTTTAGGGACGTGGGCCTTCATAGTAGCAGTTAATACAGTCAGGAACAGGAAGGATAGCAGCCTAGAATTCAGACAGAAAAGCTTTTTACGGTATTCACCCCACATTGACTTTTCCACATTTTGTTTGTTGTGCTACAGCTTGGAATAAAAATGGATTTGGTTGGCATGGTGGCCACTTGATGTACACTCGACACTGTAAAGGAGCAAAATATTTTAATTGTAGCACAATCGTTAAGTAAACAAAACCCGGCATCTTTGGCAGCAATGACAGCTTCTTGGGTACATTGCTGTGCACAGCTGAGGCTCAGGAAGAGAGCGGGTTGGCCGACAGCCTCGCAGGAGCTTGCCCTCCGTGTCCTGCCCGCTCCAGGAGCTGAGCACCTTTGCGCTCGTCCACAGGAGCAGGCAGGGCATGCTAGGGAGAGGTCGTCAGCTCAGAGGCTAGTGCGCCAATTCCAAGGAGGAGGAGGAGGGGCCGGGGGCACATGGGAGGGTCTCTGGGAGGGGGAAACAGGGAAGAGGGATGGGCCACCCCAAAGGAGCAGTAATTGTGCTTGAGCTGTGGTCAGAGAAGATGCTGCAGAGATCACAGGCCCGCAAAGCGCAGAGAAAAGCTAACTCTGAGACCTCATATCGGTTTGCCCCCTCTTTTAATGGTTGATTACACATATTAATAGTGTGTATTAAATCAATATATTGCACTTTAATTTACAATATGGAAGTGTAATTCATTGTACAGCCCCCGGGTTCCATGTCAAAGTCCTCATGCAGCCCTCGAGGTACGAAAAGTTGGACTGCCCTGATTCAGATGGTCAATCCAGCCAGCAGCTTAGCAATTTTGGTGCTTAGGATAAAGGGCTGGCCTGGGTCAACTAGCTGAGGCATTTGAAAAGGAAAAGAAGCAACAACTTAGAATCATGGAATAGTCGAGTCGGAAGGGGCCAGGAAGGCCACCGGGTCCAACCCCCTGCTGTTGCAGGACAGCAAATTGCACCAATCCACTCCGATGGCTGTCCAGTTTCTTTCTAAATGTCTAGTGTGTGAGAGCCCATCCCCTCTCTAGGCAGCCGGTTCCACTGTTGTATTGCTGAGTCTACTGTTGAGGAAGCTTTTCCTGATATCTTGCCTGAATCTGGATTGTCGCCACTTGAGTGGATTATTGCATGTCCTACACTCTGGCATCAGCAAGAAGATATCTTGACCTTCCTCTTCCTCTTTGACCTTCCACTTGAAAATGTACATAGGGGATCATGACAGAGCCTGTTTTTTGCAGGCCTTCAGAGAAGTGTTCTGATAGCAGATCCTCTTGGGGGCACAGTTGATCCGCTAGAATATAGTGTCTGCCACAAGGGGCAATAACACTGAGGCAGTGCAGTGTGGCAATACAGAGACCCCATCCTCCCCCCTTTTCTTGAAATGGTGTGTGTGCTTTTCACAGTGTGTGCACACACGTCATACAGAAACTTTCACAAGCACCATTGTCCAATTTTGGCTCTGCCCTAGGATAGTCTAGATATTTTTCCACTTCATTTGATTCTACTCTGAATGCTTGATCCAGGCTCCAGATGTGTTGGACTCCAGCTTTTATCTGCCCCAGCCAGCATGACAATGGTCAGGAGTCCTAGGCATGGTAGTCCAAAACATCTGCATGGTGCCAGGTTGGGGAGGGGTGACTCGATCTATGGAGGAGAGAAGAGGAGCACACCATGTTGTATGGAAACTCTTCTGCCCCTCACCTGGGGGCCAGAGGTGGTCAGAGGACACCCTTGAGCCGCACATGTTGCATGTGGCTGCGCTGCCGCACTGACTGACGCATCTGCCGTTCCTTTGCAGAGGCTGCTCCTGCTCCTCCCGAGGATCCTCAGCTGCTCGGGCCCATGTTTTTGCCTCCCCCCAGACTCATGGTCAAGACGTGGCACTTCCCAGAGGCCGTCACAGTCGGCTGGGGGATGAGGCAGGAAGACTTGGGAGAGGATGGTTCTGCTGTCCATCCAGTGCCCACTGCCAAAATAGAGGGAGTGGAATCGCGCTTGTGCCTGGGGGGACAAAAGCCCCTTCCTGAAAAGAAACCTCCTCAGAGAGTGAGTAACCAGCTTGGGCATCTTCGGATCGGCCAGGTGATTTCATAGGGTTGGTGGACCCAGATAGAGAAGCTCTTGACCTCACGCAGAAAGCCTTTTGATGCAGTAGCAAGCCACTGGTGCAGGCAGGGAGCCAGTCTTCTCTATTCTGCTGGGAAGAGCCTTTCGCCAGCCCAGATACTTGCGAATTTTTAAAATTAAAGATGCTGGAACTAAATCAAACAACCCATAAATGCTATAGAGCACACAATTACTATAATTAATCTACTGCACTCTAGTATAAATACAAAAATCTTATATACATTATGATTATAAGGTGTGCAACTGTGCGTGTGTGTGTATCTGGCACATCCAATAAAATCCATATATACAATATCTACAGGCTAATGAACAATAAAATATCCCCTCCCCCCACCCAAAAATTGACCACTGAAATGCTCACTTTTGATGTTGGAGTCAAAGGCAGGAAGTTTTAAATGCTTGAATATGCATTTTAACGAAAGAACAAAACACATTGACAAAGAAATGAAAGCTCTAGGCATCTCAAAATAATCCTTTTTGTTATGCTGCCATTGAAATAACCGAGATTCTTCTTTGTGGTCTCTGTGCACCATAAATATGAGTATTGCACCTGCACAGGACCTGTTGTTGGCAAGATTTCCTAGCTAGCTTAGGGAACCTTGATCTAGAAGTCACGCTTCTGGCCATGCATCCAAGGGTGGCGTTCACCCTCTTGACGGCAGCATCACACTGCTGACTCATGTTTAGCCTGCAGTCAACCAGCACCCTGAGATCCCTTTCACAAGTGCTGCTCTCCAGCCACTTGTCCCCTAACCTGTACTTATGACACCCATTCCTATGACCCAAGGGCAAGACCTTGCACTTACCCACATTGAACACTGCTCCATAGCTGGCCTTAGTGGGAATCTACAGGCCTTAAGTTATTGAGTGGAATAAAGAAAAAATTAAAAGGGTGTTTCAAAAAGACCTTGACATTTTGGTAGCTGAAGGGGAAAGAACTGAAAGAAGCATGTTTATGTAGGAGCACATTGTACAGTAGATTAAGTGCTCTTTAGCATTTGTTGATTGATTGTATTTGCAATAGTCGTTATTGTATCTGTTTTGCTTGTTTGTTACTTGGGAACTGAACTAGGTGCCTTCTCCATCCCAGAAACCTGCCATGTAAGGTTCCGTGTGCATTCATGAGCCTAACATTGCTCTGCTCAGTGGCTGGCCCCTGGCTTGGATGCCCCTGGGCCCCCTCCACCTGGGCCCAGTGTAGGCCACGTCTTCCAGCTCTCCTCCTGTGTCCCTCTTCTTCTGTTGTGCAGGTGTCTCCCCCAGAAGCCACCATGGCCTTCCAGGACCTTCCTTTTCACCATGGAAATTTCCTGCTCAGCTTGGAGGTCTACAACTCTGAGGCTTTTGCCAAGCAACCAGGACCCTGTACAGTCGCAGCCAACAGCCGGGTCTTTGTGGAGGTACAGCTGACACCGACACCACTTCCAAGGAGCAGGCATTGATAATATGCTGCTTGGGCTCTGCAGTCCAGTCCCTACTACATGCTCCCAAGTCACTGGGCTTCCTCTGCCATCTTAGCATGGATGCAGTGATGGTGCTGGTCAGTGTTCCCCACAACTCTCTCAAGGCCTTGTGCAGGCAGCTGGTCTGCTTTCTGGAGGCAGCAAATCATACTCAGAGGCAGCATAACACAAGCCTTTTTCCAAAACAAGAAGGCCCAGTCCAGGAGGGCAACACCCAGAACCAGTGCAGCACAGCTTTTCATGAAGAGCCACATGGAGACTTGCCAGATTTCATGCTGAAGGGATGCAAGTATCAATGCCACCATTTTGTCTGGCACTGAAACCCCAGATAATAGAGAGACCTAAGATCCAGAGAGTATGGTGGAACTGGCAAATGACCACACATGAGGGCTACATGCCTGATAACTGGCTGGGGATTATGGGAGTTCTAGTCCGACACATCTGGAGGCTGCCAGCTGGGGGAAGGCCTCAGTAGAGATAGTGCATCCTTTCAATATTAAAACTTCTGGACTTTGTTAGATCAGGCTGCTCTGCTCTTGGAGGTGCATCTTTTGTAATCTCTGCCCCGTTGCGCTTCAAACTCTCTTCATCTATACAACTAACTGTTACAAGGTTTGCTCTTGTAAGAATGCATTTTCATTCTTATGTCAGAGTTCTAACTGCCCACTTGGCTCTTAAAGAGTAAAATATATAATGCTAAGAACCAAGTGGGAGGTGTAGCATATACAAAATGATAAGGATGAAACAATCTTTTAAAAAAGATGATTTATTCAGGGAAACAGATAAAGGCTCTTGAAAAGTAGTTGTGTGTGTGTTGGAATTCTTTCAGGGTCACAAAGAACTTACAGAGTGTCATGTTGAGCAAAATTCAGTTTCATTTAGAAATGCAAGTTTCTAGCCCTCATGGTGGAAAAATATGCTTGGAAGTGACAATTTCCTCTTCTAGGAATTGGTAGCAACCTGCAGATGTTATCCTTCCCCATGATTAAGAAGACCAAAATAATTTCCCCAAAGTTTCTCAATTTGCATAGTTTATGCAGTTTATCTAGTTTTGTTTTTGCCTTTCTAATACAGACTAGATGCTGCTGCTGCAAACTGTTGCCCATAATGTGGATTTTTATCCTACAAGAAACAGAAGGCACCCCTTAGGAACCTCGGAAATTCCCCTTTTATGGATTACTCTCAGATGCTGGGCACTTTACATCCCCAGTGTGTTTAAGGGGCAGGTGATCTGGAATAAGGTTTAATTTGCTGTCCACTTTGGATGGCAGCTGTAGAAGATGGACTGAATCCACAGTATTCATGCTGGTTTTTTCTGCTAGGGAACCTCAGGAATGGGCAAGCCTTTACTTGTCAGTAATAATACATTGGCACTGCAGAGGGAAAGATTCCACATTTGGGGTTTGAGGAAAGCAGCTGCTGTTTTGGCTCTAGCCAAGTCCTTATGACTGGATATAAGCCATGGTACCCCCTTGCCATACTGCAGCTGTCTCTTCTGCCAGGCTTTCAAGATTAGGCACTTGTGCATGCAGAACTGATGGCGTTTCCTTCTTTCTCCAGGCCAGCCTGGCAACCTATGACCTGTGCCTCGGCTTTACCATCCAGCAGTGTTTCATCTCCCCCTCTTCAGACCCTTTGGTGACCTCTCCATACCTGCTGATCCAGCATGGCTGTGCGGCTGACATCCATGTCAATTTGTCCAAGCCTGAGCAGGCAGTCCAGGGCCAGGCCTTGCCTCCAGGATACCAGGAGCGCCAGCGGCTGAGTTTCTTGCTCCAACCCCGATCCAACGACTCCATTCATTTTTTGCACTGCCGCCTGACACTCTGCAGCAGGGAGCCTCATGACCCCACCAAACCCAAGGGCCCCGTTCCTAAGGTCTCTGGCTCTTTGGATTAGGGCACCCAGATTCTGAGTAGCTCCCTAGTGGCTGGAATACACCATGTTCTGGCGCCAGTGGTGTGCTAATGTTGCCTCGTCAGTCTTGCTGTCCTAATATTATTTTTAAATATTAAATTAATATTAAATATTAAAATATTAATTTTTGCATAAGGAACTGCCTTCTGTTGGATCAGAATGTCCAACTAGGTCATTGTTGACTACTCTGGCTGGCAGTCTCTCTCTAGGGTCCCAGGAGGAGTCCTTTCTTTCTCACTTCATCCTTTTATCTAGAGATGTCAGAGGCTGAACTTTTGTAGGCAAAGCATGCGATTTATCACTGAGCTATGCCTACTTCTTGCTATGATCAGTCCCTGCACCTGGGACGGAACAGCAGCAAGAGGGGATGGGATCAAAATGAAAGTGAAGCTGGTAGGATGGGGTGAAATGACTGCCTGGAAAGGGGTTTGGGTACTAGAGCTCTGACTAGCTTAGACATGAGATCTGCAGGCTTACTGAAAAGGTGAAGATATCTGGAGCGGAGTAGGGTGAGGCGCTCTTTTGATAAAGTTCTCTGTTTCAGTGCCGGGATGAGAGTGAGGCCTGCAAGGAAGAAGAGGAGCCAGCCAGTGAGCGCTTCCAGCGTATGGTCACAAAACCCATAATTGTGACTATTGGTTCTCCAGTTAGGGCTGCTACTCCAGGTTTGAAACGAGGTAATAACATTGAGCCAGGCTCTAGAGAATAATCTAATCCAAGGGGGCCATTACCTTGGGAGGCCTCCCACTTCATCGCTATGACTCCATGCTGGATAGCAGTTGCTGCGGTTGGGAAGGACTGCCCTGGAGAGTTGCCTTTCCATGACCAGGAAGTGAAAGAAGAGGATGGGAAGAGCTAGGGTCAGTGGTGCAGTTGATCCCATTAAAATACAGCTTCAGCACTTGCCAGCAAACCTTCCGCTTGTCAGTGCTGAGAAGCAAAGGAACTATGCCAGGCAGAAGTAGCCCGGAATCATGTGCTCCTTCTCTGGAGGTTACTTTCTGCAAATGCTCCCTCTGAATATCTATTCTCTTTTTCCCCTGTAGACAGTCTTCTGGCCAGCCAGCAAGGAAAACTGCTGAAGGATGCAAGCCACTCACAGAAGACACAGCCAGTCCCAAGTAAGTTAAACATTGCCATGTGGCCTCACTAGCCTCATTTCCTAGAAGTTGGAGCGTAGACCAGTTCTAGACCTGAATGCCACCTACACTCTAGAAGAAAAGTGTCCAGGCCTCCTACTTTAGAATATTTGCAGCCTCGTGTGTGTGCGCGTGCGCATGCCAGTGCATGTGCCGAAAGAGAGTACCCATCTCCAAAATAAAAGGGGAACTTTCACTGTTTCAGAAAATAAGTTGGGACAAGGATCCTGATCAGGGGTTTTCCTTCTGTTTTACTCTGTTTTAGAAACATGTCCCGTTTCTTGCAGTGGTTTTTACTGAACATAGAGGCACAATGATTTTTCTGTTCTCAGCCACAATTCTTTGTTCTTTCCTTTGTACAGCTACAGCTGAGCCAAGCCTGGAGCTCCCAGCTGTAGTTGGCATTGCTTTTTCAGCCTTTGTCATTGGCATTTCCCTCACTGGTGGGCTTTGGTACATTCATTCCCAGACAGGTAGGTATGAAGATGGTGCTCCCGGTGCCATAGGTGCTACCTGCCTTGTTTAGTGATGGTTTTGGCAATACCCAGGGAAGCACATGTCATCCTGTATTAGCTGCATTTATGTAAATATGGACTGGGGTATATATCCAAGCTGGAATGCTAGGAATTGTGCAGCATGCCATCCACCTGTACCAGTGTCCTCAGCAGGAGCTAGTTTGTGATCCCCTAAGGTGGTACAGCTCTGGACAACATTGCCAATTCCCAGGTAACGCAGCTTCCATGAGAGCAGCAAAGATGTGGTGTTCTTTCTCCACCATCATCTATAGGACTTGCCCCCGCCCCCACCTGCTGCAATGAGTTCTGTGTACCGGCTGTTGCACAGCCGGTGCACTTGCACTTTACATGGCAGGCAAATCTCTGCAGCTTGCAGTCTAACATGTGATATGGGGAAGGCAACAGGGGAAGGAAGCAAAGCAGAGGCAGGAATAAACAAGGGCAGTGTGTACATCAATCGGCTGTATGTGCTCAGGCTGAAGCAGCAGGCATGAAGGCACTGACATTAGCGACTGTGTGGCTTCCTTGCAGGATCAAAGGCAACACGGTTGGTAGGTGATGCATGAAGCAGTGACTTAAATACAATGAAAAGAAAATGCTCGAACCTGGTGCTATGGAGGGGCATTGCTGTTCAGTATGATATGACAAGCAGACCAGTACAGATAACCTTGCTTCTTTGCATATTTTTGTCGAGTTGCCAATGCCCACCAGAGACAATTACAGGGCCAAACAGTTGCAGAAGTGATAGAAAGTGACAGTCAGAAGGGAGGGATGGAGTGGGGGAGGGAGATTCGTGTGCATGCTGAATTCTTCATCTTCATTCCATGGGCTTCTTGTTTCTGATTTCTTTTTAGCCGACACTGATCACACATTTTCACACCTTTCTTTGAAACAGTGAGATCTAGAAACTTTCATTTCTAGATTTTAATGCCAGCCTTGAACTCTTAGGTGAGGCAGCGGCCAGAAAGAGAAGCCAGCCTGCAGCTGAGACAGGTGAGGTGTCCCACTTGCCTTTGCGAGACCAGCCTTACTGACACACATTCTTATAATGTACTCACCTCTGTCCCTGGCTGCGGAGGAATCTGTACTCTGTGCTTACAGAACATCTGTAAGGCAGGTTGCTCTTGGGTATTTATTTCATTGTTATTGGGTTTTTATTTAATTGGGATGGTGGGCATTGTAGTTTGGTGAGGTTGTGGAGGCACTCAGGGGAGGCAGAGCTTGGGAATTCTAGAGAGCGCAAGATTGTGCTCTGTGCTGTAGAAGAAATCCAGTTTATTACAACAGTTGCTGCCAAGCCAGGACTGTTTGTGCATCATGATCAGTTTATTTTTTGCCTTAATACTTAGTGGCAGGAAACTGCAAAGACTTACACAAATTAGTATATGAGAATAAGGAGAGAATGAGTTTGCGCACATCTGGGAGAGGTAGCAACTATATCATGACCAAAAAATATGGAATGTTTGCATAACAACTGGGAGAGGGTGAAACAAAGGCTGGTACCTTTGCATGTAATCTCTTTTCCACCTGCCAGATCATGAAGAAACAGCTGTTCCAAAGCCCCTAGAACTTTCCTCAGCTCTGAATACAGCTGGTCCTGCACATGGGTCCTTGCCCTAAGAGGTCTATCTTGAACAGAGGTACCTGGACTTAGAAAATTCACGCAAAAATGAAGTAGAACCTAACATTTAAATAAAATTGCATGAAGAGCTTATGGTGTACAGGAAGGAAAATATGGAACTGTCTGATTTTGGTTGCACATATTGATAAACTGATGGCCTTGGGCATCTTTGGTGAGAATGTAGAACCCTGGAGCATATGGCTGTTAGAAAAGGAACTGGTCTCTGGAAGGGATGCATCAGTGAGTGAACCCGCAGCATCCTTCTGCCTGTCTATAGCACAGGAGCTGCCTGAATTTCTTTGCCTTTGCTTCAAAAGGCTGAGTGGCAGCCATGGTACACGAGCACATGCAAGATCCACTCCAGGTCATTGTTCCTGGGGTACCGTATTAGGGATCTTTTTTCTGGGCAGGTCTCTGGAAAGGAATAGGACCATACGTGAGTTTTCATGCAAGTCCCTTCCATTTCAGTGGAGCCTGAACATTCTCATGGGCTGTATCTGCTAAGGCTTCTCAGGTCTTTCTCAAAATTCCATGCATGTACCTGAGATGAAAGCCTATAGTAAAATGTACTTTTTATTTTAAACTGGCCCTTTCCTGGTGTTTCTCTTGTAGGGACATTCACAAATGGGGACAATTCAGGGTAAAGGTATTCTTAGGGTGACTTTTGAAAATGTAGCTCTACAGCTTGACATGGTGCAGCACTTACTTGACAGGTCTCTACTGTAACAATAGGGAGGAAATGCAAACATCTACAGAAACTGAAAGGAGAATGGAGACGTGCATAAGCTGGGCCCATGATAGGAAGCCTGAGAGACAAAGGAGAATTGCTCTATGCTCATTTGTTTATCTATGCTGATTGTCTGTCTTGTAGGTTCTGGGAGACCAAGCATCATCTTCAGTAAACTCTCCTGCCTTCTGCAGTATCCAAGACACTTAGGCCAACATCTTCATAATTTCTGTCCTTCATCCAGTGCTGCAGCTGGCTGAATTGATAATTTCTAACATTGCACAAGCTCACACTCTAACCTTCAGTGTAAATGAATAATTCTGTTGACAAACAACATTAGCAAGGCTTTTTCATTTCTTATTCTGGCAGCTATCTCAAGTGTTATGTTGCTCCCTCACTGAATTTGACTCTCCGTTTACGCATGGATAAAGAGGAATTACCCTGCTTTAATCTCTGTACATTCTACTCCCATTTATCATCCTGTAGAGATGCTTGCAATGAGCATACTCTGGAGAAGACGAAGGCTCAGGTATTGTTTTGGTCGACACTTCTACTGAGAAATGCAGACAATGCACCATCTGGCTATTTTGCTTGTCCAACTGTAGCAATAATTTGTCATCTTAGCCTAAATTTTATCCAGCTTTTCATGTATCTGCCAAGCAAAGGCTCTCCAACTTCTCAAGGGCACAAGGACAACTCCCAAAAAAACTCAACCTTAGTAACTGTTTGGCATTGCTCTAGTAAGCCAATTTGCAAATAGTGCTCCTTTTTGTGCAGCAGACCTGGGAAAGTGCATGGTGACTCTTTCAACAGGCAGCAGAGTTTTCCTCCCACCGTAGTGAGAGCACTGCCAAGTATATAGCTTGCCTTGTGTACGAAAGTCTGCTTCAGTGGGGAAGGCCATTGTACATGAGAATGTGTTAGAGGCCATCTCCTCAGCCTCCTGTATTTAACTTTAAGTGGGCCTAAGTAGTGAGAGAGCAGATAAGCTGAGGCCTTTTTAAAATAGTGTATGCTGAAGCAGGGTTCCTGCATTCCCTCCTGGATACCGCAGCTCCTACAGTATTGCATTGGGGTGTCTTCTCTTAGGGCAGGGGTGGTAATGAGCATTTTGTCTCAGAGGTCAGCCTCCTTGCTGTTAGCAGATATTCTGTGTAATACTTGGGTGCTGGAGTTATTTCATTAGAGAGCAGCCTTCTAACTCTGCCGATATGCCATCTTTTTCTCTTTAACTGCAAGCTAGAATTCCTTTGCGGATAGATGTTTTTCATGAATGTGCTTAGGACAACTCATACCAGCCTAGGCCCATTTGTACTACACATGCACCCCAGTGCTCTTTTCTCAGTGATCAGCACTCCCCCCCCCCCCCCCCCCCGCTTCAAGATCTGAGACACAGAGTTATTAAGACAGTGTAAATAGTTTATTTGTGTGTTGGGAGGGGTTTTTGAAAGTACAGATAGTTTGAACAACAGTTATTTGTTTTTTCATGGGCATGGGCTAGAAAGAATAGAAGTTATACTTTGAGGAGCAGAGAAGGGACACAGGTACATAGTTACACTAAACACATGATTTTAAGAAGAGTTGGGGCTCTGAGGAGAGAAATATATCTTCCAACCTGGAAAGCAAACACGCACTGTAGCCTGCATATGCCTTCTGGATAGAAGTAGTAAATTTCTGTCGACTAGCATGTAGTGATTGAGCTGCACAGAATATAGGGCAAGTCACTATACAAAGATGAAGTGTGGACCACTCTAATTCTGCCAGCACATTCCACTGTGCTTGTGAGAATCCCAGCAGAGGTATGTAGCTCTATGATGAAGGGCTCACTCAGCACTCGAATGCCCTATGTCCCTGGCCCTATTTGACTCTCTTTCCATCATGTATCCATTCACTTATTCTATTCTACAAGATGGCACAAATGGGAGCCAATTTACAACTAAATTTGTAGCAAGTCTGTATCATGAATTTCAGTGAAATATATTCATAACCCAGAGCTAAAAAGAATGTAGTGTACTGGACTTTTGTCTACACTGCCTAAATAAAATGTTTCACTTGTCCTACCTTCCCAGTTTCTTCCAGTAAACCATTACCTGTCCAGACACATTGTTTCTATCCAAGGTCTTTGTTACAGTGATTTCTGCTGCGATGGCATTCTGTTCAAGCCTAATTTTGGTACCACTAAAGGCATCCTCCTCTAATACTAACCCAGCCCTATTAGAAAGTTAGATTAGTGTCTTTGTAATAGTCCAGAAGCTCTGCTAGAGAATGACCTAAGCAAGGTCATTTCTCCAGCTACCTCAGTGATCAGAAAGTTTTTTTTTCTACTAAAGCCCATAAGGATGCCAGTTTTTGAAAAGATTTGTTATGGTGAAAATGTATCTTCTCAATCAAAGGAATTAGTTTTAGGTGATGACACGGCATCCTGAGGGCACTCACGGGGTTTTCATCTGCTTTGTAACTTGTGTTATTTACAACCACACACAAGAGTAACTGTAATGCTGGAGAAGAGATTTTGCTTCCTATTGCCCTACCTTTTGTGCATTAAGTAGGCTCGTTTTAAAAATAGTACAATGTGTTTATGCATATATAAACAATTTTCTTCCAGAAAAACCCCCACACCTTTTAAGGAACAAGTAGTGTGTGTTGGCAAATTCATAGGTGTTGACCAGGAAGTGCTCAACAGAGCCAGCTACTCCCTGCTGCAAACTTAGCCAGGCAGAGCCACACCCTGGGGCAGAAAATGTATGTTTATGTAGTGAACAAGGCGAGTGCTCTCAGTTTATCTCCACTAATCTTAACATATTTACTGTTTCTGTGATTAAAAACACTAGGGCTTAATGTAGCAATGGACAACTTCTGGGTGTCCAGCCGGTTTGACCTACAATGCCCATCAGCCTTCACCACCATAACCAGTACTGAAGCTGGATGGGAGCTGTAGACAAAAACATCAGGAAGCCCACAAGTTGTCCATCCTGACTTAATAGATACAGCCCAATTTCTTTTAACTGCTGGTCCTCACTCCACTCTGCTCTCTGGACCTGTTCTATCTTTGTATCTTGTACCTGGGATGTCCTGTTTAGTGTAATTAACAGGGTGCCACTCAAACATTATTCACAGTAGTAAGCTCAGCCTCTCCTGCTTCTACAGAAGAGAAAGTTGTGGCACATAACAAGGAAATAGATGCGTTCAAGCTAGAGAACAACTAGAAGTCAAGTGTCACAGCTGGGAGGAGGAACGGAGAAAGCATTCCCGCCCCCAGTCTAAATACAGCACCACATTGTTTCCCCTTCTATGAAAGGGGGAAGAACTACTATTAAAGTGCAAATTGAACCATGTCAGTAATGAGCAAAGATCACAGCCGAGCACCACTTCCCGCCTATTCTGTCCATGAGACCCTGTAGCAGCCAAGCGTAACAAGCTGCTTTAGGATGTGGGCTTTGCTAGATTTCCCTGATGGTGTAAGAAACTGCAGCTTGCTATGGAGCTTGGATGGTCAGACAGACTCCTGATGGCCCAGTGCTATTAAGAATGCTGAAGGAACTCAAGGCTACTTCGAGAAGGGATACCAATAGAGGAGGAAAGGTCTGTGCAAATTCATTTTAGCATAGAAACGGGTATGCCACTGAGAGTGAGCTGATGGCACATCCTCCTCCCACACCGCTCCTGGCTTCCTGCCTTTCTGGATATGCTATTCCAGAGCAGCGTGCCCAACCCTGCTGTGCTGGCTAGGGATTAGGGGAGCTGGAGTCCAACGAGTTTGGAGGGCACACAGGTGGGGAAGGTTGCTACCAAGAACTGAACTGAATCGGCTACAGTATTTGACACCTTCATTTGGAAAAGAAATGCAGGGAAGGTGAGCTACTACATGTAAGGACCACAGAATTGATTCCTTAAAATCCATTCAGAACACTTTGTGAAGAACAATACAAACTCAAAGCAAAATGGTAGTGGGAAAGAGGGATGGCAATTCTATATTCAAGCAGATGTTCAAAGTAGCCAACCAGCGCTGCTGGACTGAATTTTTCTTCTACCATCATTGCCATTGCAAAGGCATGCTTTGCATTCTATATGTGGATAGTAAGCAGAAGCAGACAGTTCTTTCTTTCAGAAACCTCCAAACACATAATTACTAGTTAACTTACCAATTATTGCAACAAAAAGACACATTCCAAAAAGGCTGTATTACTAGAACTTAATTAAATACTTAGGGGAGGGAGCAGCTTGGCAAAAATAGACCATTTTTATAGAACAGAAGGCCAGATTTTTATGACAAGCTAATTAGCCTCACTCCACTATAATCACTGAGGTTAATGTGTTATTAGGCATACTGTGATCTACTGTCATTAAGTGCTCTGCAGCCAATCTCCAGCTAGTAGTTTGCCAAACACACCAGCAGTAACACAGGCTATGCCACTGGAATCCACTCCATTTGCCCTGTCTTGGTAAAATTAGAATTGCCATCTCTCACCCAGTCCCTTGCTCCTAATACTTTAATTCTTCCATAGCTCCAAAGAACCAATTAGGCTTTAACTAGAAATGAATTATTTTCATCATTTGGCTTGATGTTATTTGCCCTGTACTTAAGGAGGATATAAATAAATACCCCCTGCTAGGAAGCTGCAGAAATCAAAAGGCTTGTTCCCTATTGGCTTACTCTTGCATGGCTGGAGCCTCAGAAGGCAGCACATAAACATTTTGATCATAGTGCTGTTTCTGTGGCTTTTCTGTATCACAGACAGGCAGATACAGAAGCAGCATGGCGGGGTGGAGGCAATTTGCGGGATTGGTGGCGACACCTGGTCAAAGTTACCAGGCTGTTCTACAGCCATGGTCTCAAACCCTGCAACAAAGTAGCAGTAGCATAATTAATTATTGTAGATTAGTAGAGGTTAATTGTTGCAAACTCCACTCCAGTCAGAGTCATGCCAGAATAAACCTAATGTAAGGTTTATGTGAGTTACTGAGTACTGCCTAAGTGCATTTCATATATTTCTTTTTAAAAAACCAAACCCTGACTAAACAGGTTGCGGAAGCATTTTGGATTTGATCCTGCCTAATAAACACAGTCTTTTCCCATTTACTCCAGTGTAAATCTGAACACACTAAAGTCAATAGGATTACTTCAGATTTAGAAACAGCAGTGATTAAAGTTCTTCTTAACATGTAATCTTGGAGGCAGCGAGCATTCAGGTAGCACTACACAAACAAATATCAACAACAATTGCTAGGAATTATGCACAAACTGGTAAACAGTTTCACAAGCCATCCAACATTGCAAACATGTGCCCGCTGCTAGCAATAAAATAAAATTAAATGCATCAGACTGACACAAGCAGATCAAAAAAACAATGCGGGCTGAACTCTTGTTTGGACCACATATTATGCTGTTGATCTCTGGGAGACATGGAATAGTGGCAGAGTAAATTACACAAATTTGGCAATACAGTGCAGCATGTATATATAGAATACATCTATTAAAATATGTAAGGTTATACCAAACTGGAGCCTTTCCCCAGGCATATTTATATAAATACATAAATAATACTTCAGGGCCAGCCATCTGGTGGGCTGGGCCAGGTAGGTGCAGGTTTGTCCGCCTGCTTCTGCAAATGCTGGTTTAACTTCACTAGAGGAGTCCATGATCGGGGAGTTAAAAATGACCAAACATTTGCCCTAGTGCAATAGCGCACGTATAATAACGTTTGGAAAACCTAAGGAATTCCTTCTTCACTATGGTCAAATAAATTGGAAACTCATGTCATGGGAAGAATCTTGGAGACTAGGAGAAGAATCTATTTCAAAAAGGGATTTGTGTGTCTGATACTGAACATTTTAAGTCAATAATGTTGCAGCTTTTAGATATTAGGCAAAATTAAACGGCATATTAGTTTGTAACAGATTGAAGGAAATAACACTGAGTGATGAACAAAAGGAAAATCAGCCCATAACAAGAACAGCTTTTCATTCACTCTACTTCCCAAAACCAATCAGAAGGTTCTCACTATTCAGAGATGTGGCCTAGCAAAACTGCCTACCTCTGCAGCAGAGCCAACACCCTGCATCCTCAGTGTTTTATGACCCTCTACATTTCTACAGATTTTCTGTAAAAGGCTCTCCATTTCCTTCATTTCATAGTTGAATACAATCCTTTGTAACAATGCCTTTAATTCAGACACCTTCCAACAATGAATATTTCATAGCACCTTGTCCTTGAGATCTCTCCAATTCAAATGGAAAGAAAACAGCCCTAAACCTCTTTCAAAGCTTATTTTTAGAGGTGTCATGGTCATGTCTTCCTATCAGTAGGGGCTGAGACCTTGGCTTCCTGTGGTGCCAGGATGTAGCACCAGTCCCCAAGGAATATGTTAGATGAGAAGGGCTTTACTGACCTTAAACTCTGACTCCATCACTTAAAGGAGAGGGGGCAGACTCAAACTAGCAGACTCCATCCTGGTACCCTGTACCCTGAAAATTAAGGGAAGCATCATGAATACCAATTCCAGAATTATCTCTAACTGAGAGAAGTGGGCCCCATGCCATGTTCCCGAGTATTGCTCCACTACTTTTCCCCAGCTGGTGACTGGCCCATCTGTTGAAAGCAAGCCTCTTTGCAGTCAACTGAATATACATCCACTGAGTTGCAAGAGCTCGCCTAGCAATGTAGAGACCCAAACAGCATGTCAGAGCAGGGTTTCCAGTTGAGCTGGAGATCACTCTACAGTTCATTCAAAATGGTCTTCAATGAGATCATGACTGGCTGGCTGTGGGGAAGGGACTCTTTATTCACTCATTGCTATAGGTTGGCTGCGCCAACAATCCTCATGTTAAATGAAGAACAGAAGCTAATTTTGTCAGGAAGCCAAAGTCTTATCTTTCTTCCTACCACAATTAAGAAAAGAGGACTGTTTCTGCAAGCTACATATTCTACAGGTAAACATGTTGACATATGTACAAAGTGAGGGGAGGGAAATATTTGCATGAACTCATCAGTGGGAACAAAAAGGGCTAAGCAAACTTCCCCTGCTCATTCTCCCCTGCAAGCCCACCTCATTAGTGTTAGGTGGCAAACATGGAGCTGGGGACTTCATGTCTGCATCATGAGTAGTTCTGCTATGAGAGTCTGGGAGCTTCCTTTTTTAAAAAATCTTGACAGGATCAGATGTTTGGACATTTCAGTATTCCCTTCTCTCTGATCTTCAGGCTTTCTCATACACCTGAGAACTTAGCCACTTATTTTGATCATCTGAATCACAGACAGAAGAGAAGCTCTTGAGTAATTTGGTTAATGTACCTGTCTTTTCTTAATAAAATGTATTTTGTGGTTTTCTGATTGACTGCCACATGCCTGAAACAAATCGGACAATGGTCAGAACTTTCCAAGAACCATTGACTGAAGAAATGGCCATGAAGTTGGAACTAAGGAAGAGTTGTATGACCTCAGACAATACAATCTCAGGCTGGGAATGCTAGAGGAACTGCTGTTTCCTGTATGAACCAAGACACTATGTAAATTCCCTGCCATGGATGCAGCAAAACACAGTTACTGCTGTAGGCAATGTTTGCCACAGAAGGTACCATGCAGAGCACTTCCCTTACCACAGCACACCTCAAAAGAAAACATCCTGTGTCTTCTGCTATAGAAGCAGTTCTGACTGTTCCATAAAAGCCCTCAAGATTGTTGAAATTAAAGCTTTATGCCAAGGCTCCTCTAAATGAGGAAGTCTGGCAATTATACAGTATAAATAAATAATATATGCAAGAACAAAAATATAATCTCTCTCTTTAGAACCAAATCACTTATTCAGAAGCATATTCTCCACACATCGTTCCCCGTCCTTCTCCTGGAGTGAAAATCACACAGGAGCGAAGAGCCAATCCATGTTCTTCTCTGCATTCCAAACGGGAGTGTATGAGGACACATAAATAAAGGGAAGACTGACCCTTCTCATCTCTCCGAGCACAGCAAGGAGACAGAGATTAATTGCTACTGGACTGCAATCTATGAACCAGTGGACTGGTTGCTTCTGCTGTCCCCCAGAGTTCTCAAGTGTGCAAATCCTGGTGTGTGGAAGGGAAAAAAGTGTGGCAATGGGTTGGGGTGGGGGATGTGAATGAGACCAAGACATGGGCTTGGAGTTTAACTATCAGTGACAACAGAGCTGGAGAAAAGGCAGTGCAGACATCAATCAACAGAGATGGTCCATATAAAGCAGGCCAGCTGTCGAACTCTGTTTTGTTCCCTGTGTGCTTCTCAGGGACATAGTACTTACTGGGTAGGGACGCAGATGCACCTTGTGTGGTCCACAAGATCACATCGGATCAGATCGGATCCCTGAGCCTTCAGTACAGCATGGCCATAGGACCAAGTGCCTTCCAGATGGAGCTGGGATGGCAGTATCTCACCTCATTTGCCCAGGGCCTCTGCAAAGATGATCTCACCATTGGGCTCAGTGGCGGAGGCAGGGTCATCTGGATCACTATCTGTGGTGCCGTCACTCTCCTTACCAGAGCTCTCAGCACCCCGAAGAAAGTGAGTGTTATGGGGGGAGAGTGGGTATAAAACGTCCTGCAGAGCACCCACTACCATGGGGCTGGTCAGCAGCTCTTCATCTGAAGAATGCAGTGAGTCATCATCCACTGTCAGATGGCTCACAATATGAATACCATCAAAGCCCATGGAGTCCTCAAAAGGCTTCTGTCCCTTCATCAGCCGGATCTGCAGAAGGCATATAGAAAGCATTGGAGAAAGACATGATGCAGCTGATACTCAGCATAATGGAACCCATGTAATGTTTGTAACACAAATGCAGAGAAAATAACCGGAGCTGGATAGATCAGAACTGCATGTTGTGTATCACTGTTTGATATCCACTGTAGGCAGGAACTTTTGTGTATAACTGTGGTGTTTAGCAAATAAGAGGTAATTAAAAACTCAGCACATCCAAGACTTCCTGCAAACAGCAGACACAACATTTACCATGAGTGAGTCCACACAGACATTTGCTCCATCTTTTAGGACTGGCAAGAAATCAGGGATGCAAAAGGATACATAGAAATAATAGCTCCTCACTTTAGAGGGGGCAGGCATGTCTGAAAGTTTGTGAGAGGCAGACAGAGCCACTTTCAAGACATGTCAGAAGGAATTTTTCAAGCACATAGGTGTGGGGAACCTGAACTCTGAACCTAAATCCTTATCTATGCATCTGACAAAAATTGGCACTGAGAGTTTTGCAGTCCCTCTGTGGTGGTGCCTTGGCTTAGTTTTATCTAATATTTGATATTAACCACCTGTTTGACTGACACCTCAAAAGTGTACTTCTGATCTCTGTGAGTTCCTAAGAAATCAGCAAGTCACAGCTGATTTTGTCTGTTTTCTGATATGAAGGCCTGTGCAGAATAAGCACCTGTAACTAGGTGCCAAGAGGGGCTAATAGAGAAGTTATCTGTGGATTCCCAACCCTTCCCCTCCATGGATTTTCCTATAGTTTCTCCCATGCATTTGGGCTCACCTCTGCTTTAAGCTCGTCAATCTGATCCTTGAGTTCACGGATGTACTGAGAGGAGTCAGAATTGTTGAGTTGGCCCTGGATCATCCCTTCTTCCCTCTGCATGTGGAAGAAAGAGGAGTTAGGAAAGGTCATATGCTTGGTGGGGAGGAGCCATGATGCTTACTAATGATGGGGAGCATGTAGCACTCCAAAGGTCGTTGGATTGCAACTTCCATCAACCCTAGCCAGCAGAAAAAATGCTGTAAGGTGACGGGAGTTGCTGTGGAACATCTGGAGAGCCACATGATCCGTTTTCTTCATTGCATGCATTATTTCATGCCCTTGATAAACAACAGCTCTTGATAAACAACAACAACAAAAGGACATTTACTCAGTTATTCACGTTATATAAATGTAATGCAGCCCATTGACTATCAATGTGGCTGGTTGTTTAAATAAGTGTGTTTAAAAAGAATATTAGAAAAAGAAAGTCCACCCCTTTGCTATACAGAACACCTGTGTGCAAACAAGTCTTGAACTCTTGATCCTCGGGTTTCTCTTCAAAGAGGTTACAGCTTTGCCAACTGAAGTAACTTCTGTTTAAAAAAAACCCTTGCTACAGAAGGGTTAAACCCAAGGCTGCAAATGAGGTACTGTAAAAGAAACAGGAGCCAATTCCTGGTGATATTTTGCAATCTCTCTGTTTGCTTACTTGTAGGAGTTTGAAAGATGGCCACCCAGAAAAGTTGGCTGATGGTATTGATTCCTGCATTAGATACATAGGCAGGAAAGGTAAGATGTTAGTTGTGAACTAAAAGTGTCCTGAAGTACACATTAAACTCCAGTCAAGATTTTAACTAAACAACTGTAAAACAGGGAAGGGTAGGGCAGAACTTGTACCCTTCATAGGAAACGCCTGTGGTGCACTGTGAGACTGGCTCCAAAATTTGGCACAAGGATGGGAAACCTTTTTCACCCTGAGGGCCCATTCTATTTCAGAGAAGTTATTAGGGTCGTATTCAAGTGGTGGGTGGAGCTGAAGACAAAGGGGGAGTGGCCAAAATAGCAGACTATTTTATCTTAATACCCTGACAGGAACTAAATCTAACAAAGCATTTTAATGTTTTAGGAATGGGGGAAACGTGCTCCAAAGTCAAGAAATCACTAAATGATGAACAGTCAAGAGAAAGACACATGGCATGGCCACATTATGATGAATCCCAAAGGTCCAAACTGGGACCCCTGCAGGGCAAGATTCAGTTCCCAGGTCTGAGCTTCCCCACCCTACTTCAGGAGCTTTAGGGTGAAGGAAATCCCAAACTTTGTGGACAAAGAATTATGAAAGCATTCTCTAATTTCTTTGTGGTCCAATCCCTCATTTTGGTGAGTTAGACTGATAGCGGAATTAGACATGGCTGCTCTTGGGTTTTTTGCTTCTTTTTCCTTATATAGTGAAAGAGATGGATGGATGGTGTTGTAGTAAAACTCTAACAAGACTCACATCATCATGCTGTGTATTTTCCTAGCCACCAGTGACACAGGGCAAGGGCAAGGAGACATGTCCCAGCATGACTTCATAACATGCATTGAAATAAATGTTAAAGAGGAGGCAAATGTTAAAGGGAAGTCATGCAACAGCAACATCTCTGTAGCTCCTAGAACATCTAGATTGGCCCCCAGTTGTTATTATGCATGAGAAAAGTAATTATGGCTAGGTATGATAATGAGGAAATGACAGAACTCTGTATTCCATTATGCTATGCATGTTCATAATTCATATCAGAGTTCAGAATATCTCAGAATTTAAATAATCAGAAGGGAATGATTCTTATTTAAACAGATATGTATTTACTGTTATTTTAAGCCCCCAAAGAAAGCTGTCAACTACAGAGACAAAGCATACAGCAAACACATACAACTAGAAGAAGTAGTACTGAGACACTCCTGGGAACAATGCTACTTTGGATACAAGGCATAATCTTCGATAGTTTTCCTCCTGGCTCCCTGACCTGAATCTCCAGCTCAGCGATCCGCTGTCTCATCTCTGCCACAGCAGCCATACTGTCAGCTTCTCGCAGGCGCACAGCCATCACCTCTTCTTTGCTCTGCAACAGAAACCAGAAACCTGTGGCAGTGCACCAGCAGAGGGCAAGAAAGAAGACCCACCCACACAGGGGCCAGAAGAAAAAGCTGCAACAGAAGTGGAAGATGTCATGATGAGGCAGGCCATGATGAACCACTACACTGCCCAGTATTCCCACTGACATTCAGGGAGAACACTACAAGTTAGGACAGTAACTAAAGCCAAGGCCATCAGGTGGGAAAAATCCCAGTCTCATCTTCTGAATAAGGCAGATTTGTGAATTGTGTACCTGCCATACACAAGTGCCAGGTAATTTCAGCAAATCCAAGGATGTTTTAAAAATAAGGCTGTTCTTCACAGGTTTAGAAGCCTCACAGAACTTCTGCTCTGAGCTCCTGTCCTCAAGGCAAAATTCTAGAAAGTTTTGTTAACTGCTATACAGAAGAGAACTGGGGAAAACAGCCTAATGTAATTGCATGGTATCACACTAGGTCTCACCTTGCACTCAGATTCAGAATGCTTGCGCTTGGTCTCACTCAGTTGGGTCTGCAGCCCCTTGTTCTGGGCAGTGAGGTACTGTACTTTTTCATGTAGCCCAGAACATTCCTGCTCCATCCGGTTTAGGTGGTTGCTGTGGATCTGATCCTGCAAGGAATGAAGACAGGCTAATAACCTGGCACTTTCCAGATCAGATGGTCTTATGAGAAACATATTCAAGTTTATCACACCCTTATATGACACACATGTGGATTTTGAACATACTCATATTTATCAAACCCCTGACAAAAAGTCTACTGTTTAGGAAAAAAAGAAATGCACTCAATATTGCAGATGGAAAGAACCCAACCAAGTTTTTAGCCTTAACAGTAAAGAACAACTTTCTCACAGAATTTGAATGGAATTGCTGTAACTGAAATGCAATAAAACTCATTTGATAACAACATGGTTTTATTTCTTGTATAACTTAATTTTAGATATTCATGTACCAATGGCAGCTACCACAACAGTGCTGAAGAGGCACTTGGGGGCAGCTGGAACTGACCTTCCCCTTCCCCACTGCAATCATAAGTCATTTGGGACCTCCCATGGGTTTTTTCACATTATCTTTTTGTAAAGAGCCAAAATCCAAGGTTAACACTCACAAACAGCCCCTTCAGGGAGCCTGGGTGGCACACTGGGGAAACTGCTAGAATCATCTTTTAAAAAGTGGCACCAGCAACCCCACCCTGCCTCACAGCTTGTACAAAAAAGCATTTTAATTTTAAAAAGAACATTTCTGGACAACTTGTGCAGCTGAGAACCTTTGCAGACGCATGAGAATGGGAGTTGGGGCCTTGGTGGGGCCAATGCTGCTAAGAGTGGAGAGTGTGGAGCGAGCGTAGTGTGGTGAGAGGACTGGACTGGGACTTGGGACGCCCAGGCTCTACTCTCCACACAGCCACGAAACTTGCTAGGTGACTCTGCGCCAGTCACTCACTCTCAGGTTACTACCCGACAAGGTTGTTGGGAGGATAAAATGGAGCTACGTAAGTCACCTTGGAGTCCTCACAAGAGGAAAATGGCAGGATATAAACACAAAATAGGAATAGGAATAATTTTATTCTTTTGAAGATAGGTTTTTTACTGTTCACTGTTGAGAAAATATTTAAATATATAAATTAACTATTTTGTAAATAAACAAATAGACAAACAAACCCTCACTCACCTGGGTTTCAAGTTCCACCACCCTCTGGCGCAACTCCCGGACCTCAGCCTGGGCCTGTGTTTCACGAAGACGGAGGCTCATCAGTTCATCCTGGAGGTCATTCATAGTGTTCTTACGAGGAGAATCTTTCCATCGCCCACCTGTCCGGCTCAGATGGGCCTAAGGAAAGGAAGGAAGAACAGTAGCTTCCAAGTCAGAATGAAAGCATATCATGCTCATTAGTATTAATGCCTTTGTATGGACACCGCAAAATAAAATCTGTGTATTTTAATACTGATCAGACCCAGAAAGGGCCAGCTCACAGAAACAGTAACTATACTGTGTCCTACTAGAAGTCAATCTGCCCATCAGCTTGCTTCTGACAGGGACCGTTTTTGATATTTCATAGAACGGAAAAGCACACACAGGCATTAATGGAATATTAGACTACTTGCCCATCCTATTCACCAGTATTTTAAACTTTTTGTACAACCTGAACACAAGGTTATCTATTGCTTCAATAGTAGCTACTTTAACAGCTCACTGGTACTACATACTCTTTTACATGCATGCTATGTAAGATAAAAAATGAAAAAAAAAAACCCTATTAGTAAGTTTAGGCACATGCTAGTTGTTCCTTAAGATGCAATGAGTATTCATATACATCTAATCGGTTAGACATATATGAGTAATCTCCTTCTATAACTTGATTCTATTTACTCATTCACTGCTGATTCATTATTGTATAGCTCACAGGATCAGGTCCTGCAAGCTTCTATAAAAAATGTTAGAATGTATCAGCAACACAGACAGAGAACATGGGAAATTTCTTTAAGTAAAGCAAGGGAAAGCACGGGAAATTTCTAAGTAGGCAGTCATTCCAGCACAGCATACCTGCCAGTTGTCATTGAGCTCCTTCACTTGCTGCTGCAGCTCCCTGAAGGACGTCATAGCCTCAGACTCCCGCACCTTCATAGCCTTCAGTTCTTCCTGTAGACGGGCCACATTGTTTTCATCCGGAAGTAAACTGTTCTTCTGAAAAGAGAATGGATTTGGAAGGATGATGTAAGCATTTTGGCCTACTTCTGATCACAACAGCATGTGCTTTACCTAAAGAGGTGCATTTTATTTCTTTTAAGCAAAGCAAGACTATAAATCCTCAAGATTAACATATCCAATTATTTCCTAATGTGGGAAGCAATCACACAAGGTGTACTTTTCTCTGCTATCTTTGTGCAGCAAAGATGTGTGCTCAGTATGTCTTGATATGATAAAAGCCATAGTGAAACATATTCTCAAAAATGTTTCATCTTCCATGGGAAAATACTAATGCAACCTCATAGCCCTCATAACCTTATAACACTGGGAGCCAGTGTAGTGTAGGGCTTAAGAATGCAGGACTGAAGCTCAAGAAATCTGAATTCTAGTCTCCACTCTCCCTTGGAGCTAACTCAGTGACTCTGGGCTGGTCACAAACTCTCAGCTTAACTTACCTCACAAAGCTGTTGTTGGTGAGGATAAGATTGAGAGGAGTAGGAGAATTAGGTAAGCTGTCATGAGTTCCTTGAAAGGAAAGAAGGTGGGATACAAACAAACAAACCTCATATGCAAAAACAGACCAAAAAAAACAAAACAAAACACCAGGAAATGCAATCTCATCACTTTGGCTACTGAAACCACCTGTGCAAACCTACCCTCGGTTTTGCAATCTTCATCTGGATTACCTATGCAGAGGAACCTATATCAGAGACTCTACTTCTCTTAAGCTTCAGCCTGGTCATACCCTACTTGCCTGAGTTACTGTACTGACTGCTTCCTAATGCTTGCGTGTTTCCATACCAGTCCCTTCAGTAGATGTACCTTCTCCATGTCCAGCACTTTGTCCTGCATCTCTTTCAGCGCACTCAAGGTCTCTGTCTCCCGTAGGCGTGACTGCTCCAGCTCAGTTTCCAGGTGACTCACAAAATCCTCTGAAAAGCGGGGATTTCCCTGCACAGAATGGGATGTTGACAAATCAGTATATTTCATGCAGTCCAGTTGCAAGCTTCTACTGCTTCTCATTGTGCTAATCTAGGATCACAATTGGACAAGACATGAAATAACTGTGAATGTTTGATTTGCTTGTTTTAACTGAAACACAGCTGCGTGGGGAAGTAAATTTGTTTGGAGCAGAGTGTGGGTCAGGGTGCAGGAAGGAGGTGGCAAAGTCTTCACACTTTTCCTGTAGTCCATTCTTCCAGGCAAGAGAAACCAAAGAGAGGGGAAGTATTTGAAGCCTCTTTTGAGCAAAGTCCTGGGCTGCTTTCTGCTGCATCTGTAGGACACTGACCCAGCTGAGGCCTTCAAATTCTTGCACTTGTGCAAGTACAGCTAAATGTGCATAGTCAGAATGTGTATGGACACCAGTCACTGGGGAACTTGGGCTAGAGGGTGCTTGTTGCACTCATATCCAGCTCAGGTATGTTCAAGAGACTGTCAGTGGCTGTCAAAATGGGATTGCAGAAGTATTTGTAGTGATTTCTGAAAAAAAATCATGGTGAACCCAAAATGGTTTGCAATCACAATGGCGATGGAAGTAAGCCAGTGTCTTACTTTAGGTAGGGAGGTATGCTTGAGTGGCAAAGGATTTTTACCACTCCTGCCAAGTGAGTTGGTAGCTGATTCCCTGGCCAACTGATAGGGTTGGTCACCCAGGTTTGGGTAACATGAGAACCCATTGTGGGTACAACCACCCACAGAAAAAATTTATTCCTAGGAAGGCAAACAAAAGCCACCTTGCAGTAATTGGTCTTGTTTTGCATGACACAACAAACAACTGTGGGTAACAGTCGGATGGGATGTCATGTCACGAGAACCGATTCAGCCGTGATCAAATGAATTAACTTGCAGCTATCACAGAATAGCAGAGTTGGAAGAGGCCATGAAGGCCATTGAGTCCAACTCCCTGATGTTGCAGGACACCAGGTTGCACCATCCCACTCAGATGGCTCTCCAGTTTAAGTTTCCCCCTTTGCTGTTCAGTCACTAATGCCTCTCCATTACCTGTTGGTCCTGTAGTTGCCGGATAGTACTTTGGGCCTTCTGCAAGTTCTCCGTTGCTGAGCAGCACTGTTGCTTAACTACTGCCAGCTCCCGCTTGATGATGTAATTCTCTTCAGCTTCCTGAGCACGTGTAACTTGACCCTAAAAAAGAGAGTGACTAGAAGCTATTTTCATCGGGAATAGGAAACCCATGAGTGGTTTCTCTGTGATGCATACAGGACAGGCCAACAGCAGGAGTTATTTATTTCACGATGGTAAGCAAAATGCAGACCACCTTAATGTAAAACATTCATCAAATGTTCTTAATCACTCCAGTTTCCTGGAGCGCTGCTCTAGTATCAGCCATGCACAGAGTGGATTACACAAATAGGCTTTACCATGAGTGTTGAACCTCTTTCTGCCCAAGGGCTGAATTCCATTTTGGAGAACCTCTCAAGAGCTGTATTCCATTTCTGAGTGGGGCTGAAGACATGGTTTAGCGTATATGTCTTACTACCTCAAGGAACCCTTAGAAGAGGCATTTCAATCTTTTGGAATGAGGGGGAAACTGAACAAAGGTCAAGAAACCAACACACAATGGGAAAAAGTAAGGGGTTATGGCCATTTGGAGAACTCCAGTGGGCCAGATTGGGAACTCAGGCCCAAGTTTCTGAAACCCTGCTTTATCACCTGCCGTTCCCCAGCACTTTTATTTGAAGACTGACTTGGGAATGATTCACCCTTTCAAACCTACTCTAGGTAAGCAAAGCTAGTATCTTAGAGAGAATGCTAAGTTAGACCATTCTCCTCAATATGTTACACTCTACATCAAAGGATAACATAGAGGAGTTTTTGTAGGAGGGATGTCCTGTCTGTATTTCTATGCAGATACAAAACCATGTGGAAAGTATCATGGTCTTCACTCTATTTCTTTATCACTGCCACCTAAGGTCACAGCCCCCTCCCCAAATTTATAGAATTCCTCCTAAATACAATCCTCAGAACTATAACCTCAATAAAGGACTAATCTTGTACAGAACAAAACTAAGATTTAGTCATTCTCTGGGATGAATGGCGATAGAGAGCTTGCAGGAAGGGTGAAAGTGGCAAGAAGAGATAATACTTCATCTTTACTATTTTAAAAAGGCAATTCATAGCAACTGTGATAGGTATGCCTTTGGTCCACATAAGACATAAGCATGTTACTAAGTTCTGCAAGATTGTCTTCACAAAAAGCATCTTGGATGAAGCTTGTCCTCCACCATATGCCATATAAAAGGAACAGATGCCCACACGTCCAAAATGATTTGTGCAAGGGCACAGAGAACCAGGGCAGAGCAGGCACTGAACAGGGACAATCCTGATGATGGGATAGTACAGCACCCAGCCATAAAACCAGTCTGAACTTGGTAGCTATTTACTTTTGTTACAACCATGGAAAGGAGACTATTATGATCTGATAATTAAACACAAAGCAGTGGTGAGGCACACCTCTGGGATTTAACATCTAATTTAAGAAATGTGTGGAGCTAGTGTTTAAGGCTGGGTTGGGCAACCTTTGGCCCTCCAGAGGCTTTGGCTTTACAACCCTCATCAGTCCTAGCCAGCATAGCTGTCAGTTAAGGGTTGTAAATTTGCAGAAATGTATGCAAATTTAATGGGAAGTAAATAAGGGGAATTTGCACACCTGCAGTAATTACTTTCTACATTCCTGCAGGTGCAAAACTTCACCTCCATTCATTTACCACCATTAAATGTGCATCTATTTCCAGTCCAAAAATTGCAAAAATATTCCTAAAAGGATAAAGAAAGATACCTGACAGATGGCAGAACAGGGTGCAGCAAATGAGGCGCCAGCATCAGCACCACCCACCTCCCCCATGGGCCCTATTCACCATGTTCCACTGGGCTGCATTCTCAGCTTTTTTTCCCCCCAGCTGTTAGGGAACCACAGTAACTATAGCCATAAGTGCCTCAAAGAGAAATTGTGCGGGAGAAGTTAGTATCTCCTTTCTGAAATAGCTGGGGAGCTGGGAAACTATTTTTATGTATCTTAGAATCATAGAACAGTAGAGACTGCTGAGGCCATTGGGTTCAACTACCTACCCAATGCAGGACTCCAACAGGCTGCTTCCTGAATGCCTCTACTGTGGGAGGGCCCACCACTTCTCTAGGTTATTGGTTCTATTGTTACCTTGCTTTGACAGTCAGGAAGTTTTGCCTGATGTTCACCTGGGATCCGACTTCCTGTAACTTGAGCTTGCTATTCCATGTCCTGCATTCTGGGATGATGGAGAAGAAATGCTGCCCCTCCTGTGTGACAACCTTTCAAGCACTTGTAGAGAGCTGTCATATCTCCCCTCAGTCTTCTTTCTCAAGGCTAAAAATGCCCCATTCTTTCTCCTCCTAAAGTTTTGTTTCCAGCCCCCTGAACTTCTTTGTTGCCCTCTTCTGAACCTTTTCCACTCTGCACCTTTCTTAAACTCTGCTGCCAAAACCTGGATGCAGTACTCAAGATGAGGCCTAACCAGTGCTGAGCAGAGGAAACTAGAACTTCACATGACCTAGTAGTGATACTTATTAATGCAGCCCAAATGATCATTTGCCTTTTTTCAAGTCATATCACATTGTTGTGATTCATGTTTGGCTTCTGATCTACAACAGTTTCATGAACCTTCATGCTCGAATATTCTTGAGCCAAGTATCCTCCATCTTGTAATCACAGATTTAGCTTCTTTTTCCTAGGTGCTAAATTTGTCTCTATTCCATTTCATTCCGCTGCTTTCAGCCCAGTGCTCCAAGCTCATACTTCACCTTTGCCAGGGAGGTCACAGACCCTCTTTGCGGAGAAGATTGAGTAAAAGTAAGGACTGAACCCTTCTGCCTTTTCCTTGTCATCTGTTATCATTTTGCCATCCTCACTGAGTAGCTATATCCCTGTCTTTCCTCTGGCTTTTACAATGCACACATCTGAAGGTGACTTTTCTGGTGCTTTTACATAGCATCCCTTGCTAACCTCAGCTCATTCTCAGCTTTATACTTCCTGATGCTGTCCCTACAAATCTGCGCTACCTTTGTGTACTCTTTGTAGCCTGGCCTTCCTTCCACTTCCCATACATGTCCCTTCTTGTTTTCAGGCCATCTTAAGCTCTTTGTAAAGCCATGTTGACTTGTTCTGTGGTCTTCTGCCTTTTTTCCCTTGTAATTGTAACCATGCTTTTAGAAATCTAAGAGTTTGGCTTGCTTGCACCTGGGCTTGCAACATATGGTTAGGCACAGTGGGATCCTAAGGCTCCTCCTTTCTCTTAGTCCTCCCCACTGGGTCAACTAGGTGGATTCACACAACACTTTAAGTCCAAAGTGACTTGTAAACCAACCTGGATTTAAAGTTGGACTAGGGCATACACGCTCAGCAGTGTTCCTGTGACAACAACTCCTGCCAGTATCCACAAGTATACTGCAAGTGTAGAAGGGAGCAGAGTGCTCAAGCAGCATTTTTTTTTGGGGGGGGGGGGGACAACTGACCTAGCAGAGAGGGGCTGCTCAGCAACTCTTTGCCAGGACTCACAGTGGCAGGGATGAACTGCGTTCTGTTCAGTTACCATGAGAACGCTGCAGCAATTGTCACAGTGGGTGTGGAGCACATTGTCAGAAGAATGACCTCACTCACTGCATTCTCCTGGACTCTTCCCAAGACCACCCCTTCAAACATGGCTGAATTGCCTGCCCTCAGTCAAAGTATCCTGAGTGTGGATGATATATTCTCTTGGGCCTCTTCCTGACAAGACCCAGGGGCTTTGCCTGGCCTTGTGATGCCCAGGTTCAGACAACATGGAAAGCACAGCGAGTGACTATGGAGCTCTACAAGAAGCCATGGATTGCCAGGGTAGCTTTTCAGTCACAAAGAGGCCACCATGCATGGGCGATGGACTACTTTTGGACAACACACTAACGAGGCAAGGTGGCTTAATATGTCACTCAAATCCAGTCAGTGACTGGCCCAAAATTATCCAATGAGCTTAATGGTCAAATGGGGACTAGATCGCCAGAGTTCCAATCCAACACTCTAAGCTGCTACATCACTGTCAAAAAGGTGAAAGTTACTGAGAACTGCTGAGCAAAGTGAATGTGAGGCAAACCAGTGCAGCTTAGGCATTGGAGGAGGGCCTGTCACTTGTGGTGATGAGCAGCAGAGGTTTGCGCCACTTCACCAAGCAGCTTACTAGCAGATCTCTGGAAACCACAATGAAGTTGCTGTTCTGGGTTCAGAAGGCATCACAACACATCATGACTTGAACAGTCATTACTACATCTGGTGTGCTATCAGGGTTGCTTGCTGCACAAAAATAAGGCCCCTGCAGGAAGTGGTCTAAGTTTGGGTGACAGAATAACCCACTCTGTCTAGCTACCTACAATAGGTTGTCATGGCCTAAGCACAAACTTTGCAATGTATGGCTGTGAAACCTGGACCATAAGAAAGGCTGAGCGCTGAAGAATTGAGGCCTTTGAATTGTGGTGCTGGAGGAGACTCCTGCGAGTCCCTTGGACCGCAAGGTGATCAAACCAGTCAGTCCTAGAGGAGATCAACCCTGACTGCTCTTTAGAAGGCCAGATGCTGAAGATGAAACTCAAATACTTTGGCCACCTAATGAGAAGGAAGGACTCCCTGGAGAACAGCCTAATGCTGGGAACAATAGATGGCAAAAGAAGAAGCGGACGGCAGAGAGTGAGGTGGTTAGATGGAGTCACTGAAGCAGTTGGTGTGAGCTTGAGTGGACTCCGGGGGATGGTGGAGGACAGGAAGGCCTGGAGGGATGTTGTCCATGGAGTCGCGATGGGTCGGACACGACTTTGCGACTAACAACAACAACAAGCACAAACTCCTGGAACTGGCATAAAAAGGGGCTAGAATGTTAGGAATCTCTTCTCCAAGAAATCCTCACCAGGACATTACATTAGAGATTGTGTATTCCTGCCATTTTTTTCCAGCCCAGTTTTGTTCCCACTAAGTTTTGCATTCTTGAGCTCCCGTCTCAAGTGGGGGAGATGTCAGGGCAAACATATTGTCTTGCTCAATCCCAATCATCTTCCCAACTGGTTCATTAGGTAGCTGGAACTCTTTTTCCTCTGACCAGAGTCTAATATATTATTTGACCATCATT